TCTTCTTCTTCCCCTTCCTCCTCTTCATCGTCATCATTATCACCTTCTTTATCATCATCGTCATCGTCATCGTCATCGTCGTCGTCGTCGTCGTCGTCATTCCTCGCCTCTTCTTGCTGTTGTTGCCTCCTTTCTCGCCTCGTGTCATCTGCTTCCCTCCCTCCATTCAACGTGACGCCTTGTTCGTCTGTCGTCTCGTATCCGTTGCACACGTCGGCGCCGTGTCTGTGCACTTTCCTATCTCCCTGCTGTTGTTGCCTGTTGTGTCGGTGCTGGTGTTGCGGTTGTAGCCGGAGACGGAGGCTGGGGAAGAGGCCTCTGTCTCGGTCCGTCGGTCTGCGCCACGCCTCGAGGCGGTCCGACGTCGCCTGGAGGCCGGGCCAGAATTGGGCGAGCATCTGCTGCAACGGGCCCGCCAGGCGACCCGCGGCCAGACTCGCAAACGGCGCCATCGGCTCGTTGGTCACGGCCTGGCCGGGACTCGAGCCCGCCGCCTCGAACGAGCGCAACATGGCGGCCGTGAGGGCCACGAGGCTGTTGGCGGCCTCGTGGGGCGGCCGGTCGTGGCTGTCGGTGCCGGCTGCAGCCGGCGGCTCGAGAATGTCGAAAATCATGAACGAGCGTCGCTCCAGGCCGCCCGGCTCGGCCTCCTCGTGAGGCGCCGGCGATGCTGCTGCCGTTGGTGTCGTCGTCGGCGACGGCGTCGGTGTCGAGGGCGGATGCGGATGCGGAGGCGGCGAGGCGGCACAAAAGATGGCAGGTCCCGGACTGAGCATGTTCAGACCGACCGGGGCCCGATTAAAACAATCCGTTCACAGCGGGCTTTGACGATGCTGGAGCGTGGCGTGGCGTGGCGTGGCGTGTGACACCGACGCGAAGGAAGGAGCGCGCAATTGAGTCTCTCTCTCTTTCTCTCTCCCCACCTCTGTCTGTCTGTGTGTATGTCTGGTGCACGCACGCACGCGCGCACTTATGCACTCGAGTCAGAGCGGTGAGCTCGCGAAACACGCAGCCTCGTGGCGCGCGGCTCTCAACTCGACTGTTTGTCTGTCTGTCTGTGTGTTTGTCTGCATGTTTGTCTGCGCGGTTGAAGCAGGGCGGCGCAAAAAAGCGGTGACTCCTCTCATGAGGGAGGTCCGTCCGTCTGAACGATTAACCAATTGGTCCAGGAAGCTGCTCATTTCTGCCGCAACTCCTCGGAACCCATCACTAACGCCGTTCGCGCTGCTCTCTCCCGCCGAGGCAACAAGCACCGTCAAGGCCAGAGAGAGAGAGAGACCCTGCCGACACGAATGAGAATCAGGACAAATAATGCGCTTGGATGATTACGGAGCCGTAATGCAGTCAGCCCGAGTCCGCCAAACGAGCCTCCAACCCGTTTGCGCCCCTTTCCCCCTAAACACACACACACACACACGCACACGGCCAGCCCAGCCGGGGCTGGCAGCGGAGACACGCGCGACAGACACAGTTTGCTTGTACGCTCACAGCCGCGCCGATAGCCGGCAGGGCAGAGCTGAACTCAAGGCGAGTTTCAGGCTGGTCAGCCAATCAGGGGCGAGCAAGAGACAAACAGGCGCCGGGCCAGCCGACCACTGGGGCACACAGGAGCAGTATGTTCGCCAGACTCCAGCCTATGTGTGTGTGTGCGCGCGCGCACCTGCGTGCCTGTGCGTTTACGTGTGCCTGCAGAAAGAGTGAGAGAGTGTAATGCTGAATAATTAATTCGGCGCTCAGGCAGTTTGGTTGGCTCGCCGGTTCTGCGCGCGGCGGCCTGCGGCGTCGTGCCGCTGCGCCGGAGTAGGCGGGCCACTGGAGTCCTGTCAGCGTGTGTGTCGGTGCGTATGTGTCGTAATGGGCCCAGGGCACTGTGGCCTATCGATCCGGCGGCCCGATGCCCACCTGGGCACGAGCCGAGTTGAGTGGCGCTCGAGGCGATGGCGCCGAAAAACGTCGTCTCAGACGTCAGGCCTGGCCTGACGGGCACAATTTCCAGGTGCCTCGAGCCATCGCAGCCTCGGCGGGACTCGAACCCACTCAGCACTGGGCGCAATAAAGGCCTCCTCGGGCCGACTCGGTTTGTGCGTATGTGTGTGTGTGTGTGTGTGTGAACTTGAATACTCTATTTTTATTAAGATGCTGTAAAGAATGCCTTTTTGCCACGACTACTCTGAGGGAGCCTCGTGATAGCAGTGCATTTCGAGGCCTACTTATTGAAGAAATGAGTAATATAGTGGTGCTTAATGTTAAAGTAATATAAAAAAATACTATTGTAGTGGGAGGAGGGGCAGAAAGTCTTGCCGCCTTGTGCGCATGAAGATAATTCGAATCCAGCCTGGGCCGCTGGTGAAAGCCGGGCGAAACGGAGCCACCTGCAGTCAGACTTTTTCAACTTTTATTGTTGAATAAATGGAATTAACCCCCCTTAAATTGCCTCACTTTACCAAGGTTGACTGAGTTTATTATTCAAGAACTACGAAATACCGAAATTGGTGCTAGTAGTTGCCACGGGAGCACAACAAACCGACGCACGAGGTGGGAGGGGAGGACAGAATCTCAATCTGGCCTCTTGTCGTCGTGTCTGGGGGGTTTATCAGCCTCGAAAAGAACGTGAGTTTGAGTCTCTTTCGGTTCTACTGAATCCTTTAGAAAGCGTAATCTCCAAAAGACAGTTGAGGATGAGTCTGGCCCGCTGCACGCAACACCCTCATTGTCCTGTCAGAAAAGGACTTGGACTCACCAGGTGAAGCAAAACTGCTGCTGGCACGCCCGTCATTTATGGTAGTCCGATTTGTGCGTCTGCATGAATGCGTTTATATATATATGTGTGTGTGTGTGTGTGTCTATGTATGCATGTTTGGGGTGCGTGTCTAATTGTCTTTTAATCCTATTCTA